GAGGAGGGCGACGACGAGCAGGGGAGGAGGCTGACGAGCACGGCAATGAGGAGACACTGAGGCAAACGGAGGAGGAAACGGAGGAGGATGAAGGTTAGGAGGAGGGATTAGGAGGAGGAGGAGGAGGACGACCAGAAGGACCAGGAGAAGGAGGAGGAGGAACAAAGAACATGAAGATGATAGGGGAGGGGAGGGTGGTGGAGAATGGGGAATAGGAGGAGGAGAAGGAGGAGGAGGAGGAGGAGAACGAGGGGGAGTTTCAGGATTATGGTAATGACGAGAGTGATACTGCCGTTGACGAGCACTATGATGATGAGGATGTTGCTGTTGCTGCTGATGCTGATGACGATGATGGTGGTGGTAATGGTGTGGTGGTGGCGGTTGTGGTTGTGATCACGTGTCTGAGGACGGTGGTTAAAAGGAGGAAGTGGAGCACGATTATGATGATGGTGATGATGAACATGATGTTGCTATTCATGACGATGATGACGATAACGACGATGCTGACGATGATGCTGATGATGATTATGATAAGGACGACGAGGATGATGCTGACGATGGTGATGCTGCTGCTGATGATGATGATGACGAGGTTGTTGGTGCTGCTGCAATTTATGCTAATGGTGATGCTAACACTGATGATGCTGATGATGATGATGATGATGCTGCTGCTGATGATGATGGCGATGAGGAGGGAACGAATACTGAATCGATGAGATGTCTTCTAGGATGGTGGTGGAGGGGGAGGAGGGGGTGGTGGTGGTGGTGGTGGTGGTGGAGAGGGGGGGGATAAGGTCAGGGGAATGATGATGATGATGACGAGAAGGACAATGATAACGACGTTGGGGATGAGGAGGAGGAGACGGAGGAGGAGAAACAGGAGAATGATGATGATGATGCTGATGTTCATGCTGATGATGTTGATGTTGATGTTGATGGCGATGATGATGATGATGATGATGATGATGCTGATGATGATGATGATGATGATGATGATGATGATGATGATGCTGATGCTGATGATGATGATGATGATGATGATGATGATGTTGATTATGATGATGATGATGATGATGATTATGATGCTGATAATGATTATAATGATGATGATGCTGCTGATGATGCTGATGATGATTCTGATGATGCTGATGATGCTGATGCTGATGATGATGCTGATGCTGATTCTGATGATGATTATGAGTAGGAGGAAAAAGAGGAGCAGGATGAGGAGGAGGAGGAGGAGTAGGAATATTAGGAGGAGGGCGAGGAGGAGGAGGAGGAGGAGGAGGAAGAGTCCCTCAAAGCGGCGAGTACCCCTCGTTGAGGCGAGCTTTTCAAGAACATGTTCTACATGAAGCAGGTTGAGCTCAACGAGCGGCCTTTCATCCTGGGCCTGCAGGCCAAGCTGCCGGAAGCGTGGCAGGATCGTGCTTCCCCCACGGCCACTCTGCCGCGACCACGGCGACGAGCTCTGAAGATCTGCGGCGACCTCCTGGCGTTATCCTCCCCTCTCTCCTCCTCTGCCTCCTTCTTCTTTTCATCCTCCCCCTCCCTCCTCCTCCTCCTCCTCCTCCTCCTCCTCCTCCTCCTCCTCCTCCTCCTCCTCCTCTTACTCCTTTTCTTCTCTCCCCTTCTTCTTCTCGCCATCCCCTCTTCTCTCTCCTCCCCCTCCTCACCCTCCTCCTCCTTCTCCTTCTCCTCCTCCTCTTTCTCGAACGGTAGATCGGCCTTCTTTCTATCTGTTATCCCGCCGCTATTTGGGTGGGGCTCACAGGAGCTCCTTCCGTGCCAGTATCAGATTGGTTTTACGTAAAATGTTCATGCCGTGTTTTGCGTATTGAGAAGTACGACATCCGATCCGGATCCTTTACTTCCAACTGGTAGCGGAGCTTCGGCTCCCTTCCACACGCCGCCATGGCCTGCACTTCGTTCTCTCGCTGCCCTGCTTCTGAGGCAGCGGCGCCCACATTCCATCGCGTTAGGGAACAGCATCAAGAACAACCTCTTGAAGGACCCCGTGTTCGCCGTGCCCAATGGTTCATCTAGTTCGTGCATTTCCACGTGCTTATCGCGGCAAGCGACGGTTCTCTAGGGACCGTCAGGGCGGACCCCGCCCAGCCGCCAGGAGCGTCAACGGGGGAGGCGCACATTTACCAGTACGAGAATATCGACTACAATGACCGCGGCCCCGTGCCTCTGCCACTCGCCTCATTCTCCCGGGCTTGCGCATACTTTGTCTGAGCAGTGCGTGGGCCCGACGCCCTCAACGCACTCGGTTGCGAGTGCAACCGCAAATATCAGAGAGCTGCTTGACGCAACGTACACATTTTCGGTGTTGGCCAAAGGTCCCGAGCTCTCCGTGACTTATGTTGCAGGGACCCGAAAGAGGCCACTGACACGACGCCTCCACATCGTCCGCTTGTGGGTGTAGCCGAAGGTGTCAGACAGTCGATGGATCCGACGTTCGCGTCTCTGGCGTTGGCGACGCGCCCCGAGCTCCTGGTGATTATGTAACCAGACCCCGGGGAGACTCAGGCAGAGCAGAGCGAGAAGATAATGGAGGGTTTGGCGACTATGTTGTCAGCATTCTGGGGGACCGCCACATAATCCTGGGCATATTCGTATCCGATCTCTCGGAACATGACCTTCCGCATCGCTCACGCGCTCCCTGCTATCTGATCTGTCAGGTTCCCGATGCATACTCCAACTGGCTACCGTGCAGTTGGTGGTGCCCAGTGCGGTGACGACGTGGCGCACGACGAACAGTCCCGTCACTATTTTGCGGGGGCTCCGCGTGCCAGTCGCACCCCAACCGCGGACAAAGTGACGTGCCCAGAGCGCTTGCGAGGAAGAGCGTACCTGGGACCGTTGTCCACGACGGCTTCGAGGCTTTCTACCCGGGCAGTGTGACTGGTGGGTTCTAGGACTCCAGCACCTCCTGGATACATGGAGTTGATTCCACTCCGGATCGAAGGCCATAGGTCATGATCTGGTCAGCGGCAAACTCCGATCCCAGCGAGTTCCGCCACGCGGCCTGCGTCTTGTCTCGCCTTGCTGGCATGGCGCGCGAGTGCGAGGGCGAGTGGCCGCCGGCTGTCCTGATTCAGAGAGTTCGCATCAACGGGGGCCGGGCGCCGCCCGTGATCCCCCCACTGCGCAGCCTGGCCGAGCGGCGGTGCCCGCTATGCGAGGAGGGGCGCGCCCGAGCGGCATCGGCCCTGATGAACTTCGACCAGTTGCCGCAGGAGCGCGTCGACGACTTCCTCGCAAAGGTGTGATATTCTCCGCGATGGGGCGCAGCGTGCGCAGGCTGCCTCTTGCTGTGCGCGCTGGGCGCGTCGAACATCTAACTCGCCGTGGCCCTGCAGCGCCGCGGCGCGGCCTGCCCCGCGAGCGCCCAGCAGCAGTCGAACGCGACGGGCCAGCCGCGACGGTTTTTTCGCATGGTCGAGGGCTCGCGGGGGGAGCTCGCCCCGGCAGTTCGCTCGATCCAGCGCCGCGCGTTGCTCGCGAGTGCGCCCGCGCAAGATCGGGCTCAGAGTGCTTATTGCGCTGCGGCCAGGTCGAGCTGGGTCGGCGCGCGCCGCGGCCCTGGGGGCGGCGCCTGGCCCGCCTGCAACTGCAGCCGCCGCCGCTCCCAGTGCGGCGTCCTCAGCGCAACTGGCGTGGCCGACGCCATGCGTCGACCTGGGCGCAGACCCCGGCGCCGTCAGCTCACTCGGCGAAGAGATTGCTGCCAGCGGTCTCGAGCTACGCGATGTTCCAATGGAACAGCGCGGCGCGCGCCGATTTGGGCTTGCGAGCGCGCCGAGCCACGATGGCGCAGCTTCAATGGCCGCTTGCCCGCGCGCCGCGCCCAGAGGGCCATCGAACGCAAGGGCGGAGGCCGCGGCGAAGGCAGCGGCGCTTTCCTGGATTGCCCGACCACGATTTCCGAGAAGCTTTCGGTGGCTTCGGGGTGGGCAAGGGCAGAGGGGGAGTCAGACCCTGCGGCGGGGTTTAGGCCGCCAAGGCAGCCCTCTAGGCCCTGACGCGGTGCGTCTCAAGTGCCGCGGGTGCGACTCCGAGGAGCGCCTCGTGCGCGACTGCCCCCGGCGCTGCCGGCAGGGGCGCGCGCTCTTCTTCGGCGCTCCGGCTTCGGAAGTGCCGCCGCCGCCGACGCCCTCGCCGCTTGCGCAGCCGGGGCATTAGGGGGCGTCTGGGCCGTCCGCCCAGCAGCTCGCGCCGGGCGCTGGCGCGGTTGGGATTGCGAGGGGCGCTTCCGGAACTCCCCAGTCTACGGCCGAGGTCCCCGACGACGGTGGCCCCGCGCAGAGCGCCGGCCCCCGGAACGGCGGGCGGCCGACTCCAGTGGCGGCTTGGCCGCGGCCGGCCGCGGCAACGGCTCCCAGTGCGTCTTCCGACGGTTCGCGGCATGCGTTCGGCCGCAGCCATTAGTCGAGCCGGGCGGGGGCCTCATCTTCTTCGTCTTCGCCCAGTCCGCGCGAGGCCGAGCTGCGACGCCTGCGTCGAGAAATGTCTGAACTCATGAGCCGCGCGCAGCAGGGCGGCCCAGCCCGCGGGCCCAGCAACTGCAACGCTGGCCTCTGCGGCAGGGGCGGGGTTGCCCAGCCGCGCCCGCGGCGCCTACAGCCTCGGCGGCGTCGGCAGCACCGCCGCCGCCGCCGTCAGTTCCTTTTCCATTGGGGCGAGCTCGAAGGCGCGAATGCGCAGGTGACCTTGACGCGCGAGTCGCCGCGCCTACGACCCCACCTGCCGACGCGCAGCTGCCGAGCTGGGCCTACATGTCACCAGCGGCCTGCTTCGGCATCGGCGCGTGATGTCGATCCAGGTGCACGTGGCCACCGCAACCCGCGCCAGTAGCCGCGTCGCCGCCAGCGCTGGAATCTCTTTTGGATCTGGCCGCATTCAATCAGTCCCCATCGACGCGAGCCAGCCATCTGAGAGAGTGACCACGTGGTTCGCTAGCCGCGAGACCTGGATGTCGAGCCACGGCCGATCCGAACGCAACGCGGGTGCCATTCTGCCGCGCGCAACGACGGCACGTCGACGAGGTCCACAGCACGCAGCACTAGAGCTTCTGCGAAAGCAGGACGAGCAGCGACGCCAGGCCGCACAGAGTTGGAGAGCACCCCTCACACCTACGAATCCTCTTCCTGTGCCGGCCGCCGCACCTGCTGCGTCTCCCCAAAGGGGCTTCGAAACTGCCTCCAGAAATGTTCCCAGGAGCTCCCCGAGAGACCTATCCCAATAAGCACCCAAGAGGTCTCTGACCAGCATCCCAAGCGCGGGGGCAGGACGGGCCGAAGGCCATGATGAGGTGCACGCGTGGTCGAGGGGCGCCGTGGCCCCTCCTCTCTGTCCTCCTTTCTGGTTTTCGTCTTTGGAGGCTCCGCTTCCCCTTCTGCTCTGCTCCTGTCCCTCCTTGCCGTTCTGCCCTCGTTTTCGTCGCCGTCATGCTCCTAGACTGTTTTCCCATTTCTCGGCCTTCAAACCGCCCTCCTCGTCCTCTTCGTCGTCCTCCTGGCTCAGGGAAGGGCTGTTTACTAGGTGCTCCAGTAGCGTCTTCGGATTAGAATCCTACCCGCAACCGTCGCCCAGCCTTCAACATCTCACTGTGCGGTGGGATTCCCGAGAACCTGGGCGCGTGCGAAGTGCGCGCGATGGTTCCATAATATAATTGTATGTATCCCCTTCCCTCCCGGTGGCGCTTTCCGTCGGCGGCAGAGCTGGCGCGCCAGAGTGTTCCTTGTCCTTGTCCCTGTCCTCCTCCTCCTCCTCCTTCTCCTTCTCCTCTTGTCCAAGGGTTCACCGTGTCTGCTGAAGTGGACATCGACCCCGGTAGGTGCCTCATCTGATCGGATTATCCTCCTCCTCCTGCTCCTCCTCCTCTTCCTCCTACAAAGCATTCCGTTTCTCCCGTGTCGTATTCCCCGTCCCCCTTTATCCTTGTTGTCGTTCGTTTCCCCCATCATCCTCCTCTCGTTTCTCCTCCTCCTCCTCCTCCTCCTCCTCCTCCTCCTCCTCCTCCTCCTCCTCCTCCTCCCCCTCCTCCCCCCCCTCCTCCTCCTCTTTTCCTTCCCCCCCTCTTTCTCTCCCTCCTGTCGTCGGTCGTCGTCGTCCTCCTCCCCCTCCTCCTCCTCCTCCTCCTGCTTCCACTCCTTCGCTTTCTCCCCCTCCTCCCCCGTCTGCCCTCCCAAGCGTTCCCGCGGCAGGACACCGTGGACCAGGCGCGGCTGACCGCCTTCTGCCACCAGGCGTTCGTGCGCCTCGGCAGCAACATGCGCGCCGTCGAGGAGGTCCTCAGCCGCCACTTCTGGTACTCGGCCTCGGCTCGCCGGCAGGACGGTCTGGGAAGGAGGAGGCGGAGGAGGACGACGAGAGCGGGGGGTGGATGTCGATGATGATGATGATGATGATGATGATGATGATGATGATGATGATGATGATGATGATGCTGATGCTGATGCTGATGATGATGATGATGATGATGATGACGATGATGATGATGATGATGATGATGATGATGATGATGATGATGATGATGATGCTGATGTCGATGATGATGATGATGCTGAGGATGATGATGGTAATGACTGTGGTAGTGATAATACAGATAGTGATGATGATGCTGAGGATGCTGCTGTCGATGATGATCACGATGCTGATGCCGTTGATGTCGACGATTGTGATGATGATGATGTTGATGATGCTGCTGATGATGATGAGATGATGCAGATGTTTTTTTCGCTTCTTACGATCACTCTTATCATTGCGATTATGATTATGATGGTGAGGATGCCGATGCTGATGCTGATGCTGATGCTAATGATGATGCTGCTGCTGATGTTGATGAAATGGATGATGATGGCGATATTGATAATGCTGATGATGACGATGGAGACGATGATGATGAGGCTGATCCTGATGACGATGATGTCGATGACGATGATGACGATCATGCTGATCATGATGACGATGATGCTGGTGTTGATGATGATGACGATGATGATGTCGCTGATGTCGATGATGACAATGATGACGACGATACTGATTGTTGTGATGACGATGCTGATTATGATGGTTATGATCGTTATTCGTATGATCGTTAGTACTGCTACTATCATTATTACGATGGCGATTATATTTCTTATGATGGCGATGCTGATGCTGATGCTGATTATGCTGCTGCTGCTAATGATGGCAATGCTGCTGATGATGGAGGGGATGCTGTTAATGATGATGACGCTGATTATGATGATGATGAAGGTGATGGTGACGATGCTGCTGATGGTGATGCTGATGAGGATGATGTTGGTGATGCTAGTGATAAAGAAGATGCTGAGGATGCTACTGTTGGTGATCATGACGATGGTGATGTTGATGGCGGTGGTGAAGGAGAATGATTGTGATTACGATGATGATCATTATCGTTTGTATTTTTTATGTTCCGGCATTTTCGCGTTAGTTAAAACCATTGTTTCTATTATGATGGCGATTATGGTTTTCATGATGACGATGCTGATGCTGATTCTGATGCTAATGATGATGATGCGGCTGATGATGCTGCCGCTGACGATGAAGGGGATGCTGATGCCGATGATGATGATGCTGAGGATGATGACGATGATGATGATGATTATGGTGAGGATGTTGGCGTTGATGATGATGGTGATGCTGATTTCGCTGATGTCTATGATGGTGATGTTGATGGTGATGCTGCTGCGGATGATGATTACAATTCTGATGCTGATGATCATGACCATTATTATGTTTTATGGTTATCTCCATGGCCACGGCTAAATTATGACTAGCAGGGTGATGATGCTGATGCTGATGCTGATGCTAATGATGCTGATGCTGATGCTGATGAACACGGGGATGATGAGGATGATGATGATGACGATGATGATGCAGTTGATGTCGATGCTGATGATGATTCATACTACCTTTATTTTAATTCGTGTTTCTTATATCTTGACTGTCGTGATGTCCATGGGGATGATGATTCTCATGGTCACGATGCTGATGCTGATGCTGATGCTGGTGACGCTGATGTTGCTGATGACGATGGTGATGACAACGATGGTGATAATGATGCCGATGATGATGACGACGATGATGATGATGATGATGAGTGTGATGCTGCTGATAAGGACGATAGTGCCGATGATGCTGCTGTTGATGATGAAGACGATGATGATGATGAGGCTGATGAAGATGTCGATGATACCGAGGATGATGCAGTTGACGCCGATGCTGATGATGATTCGTATTGCAATTGTCATACCATTCTTACTTTTATTCGTGTTTCTTAGATCTTGACTCTCAAGATTACGATGGAGATCATGATTATCACGATGACGATGCTGATGCGAATGCTGATGCTGGTGACGCTGATGCTGCTGACGACGATGGTGATGGTGACGATGGTGATGATGATGATGATGCTGATGATGATGATGATGGTGTCGATGATGATGGTGATGAGTGTGATGATGCTGATAAGGACGATAGTGCCGATGATGCTGTCGATGCTGAAGACGATGATGATGAGACTGATGGTGGTGACGATGATGCCGATGATGATGTTGATGATTATGTTGCTGATGCTGATGCTGATCAATATTTTATTGCAAGTGTGCTTACCAGTATCATGATGGGGATTCTGATTATCATGATGGCGATGCTGATGTTGATGCTGATGCTAATGATGATGATGGTGATGATGATTATTGTGATGAAATGGAAGAGTATGGCGATGATGATGAAAACCATGTAGAGGATGATGATGATACTGATACTGATGGTGATGATGATGATGATGCTGAGGGTGCTGCTGTTGATGATGATTACGAGGATGCTGTCGTTCGTATGATCATGATCATGATGATGCTGATCATGCTGACGGTTGTTGTTATTATGATGGCAATTCTGATTATCATGATGAGGTGCGCATGCCGATGCTGATGCTGGTGCTTATGCTGATGCTGAGTCATGATGCTGATGATGATAAAGGGGATGATGATGATGCTGATGATGATGATGATGATGATGATGATGTTGATGCCTATGATGATGATTATGCTTGTTATGATGATGGCGATGATGATGCTGATGTTGATGATGATGGCGGTGATTTTGATGTTGATGCTGATGCTGATGCTGAGGGGGCTGCTGCTGATGACGAGGACGACAATGATGCCGGTGCTGATGATGCTGGGACTGATGCTGATGCTGCTGCTGATGCTGATCATGATGCTGCTGATGACGATGCTGATGACGGTGATGCTGATGATGACGAAACCGATGATGGTGCTGCTGATGATGATAATGATGATACTGATTGTGATGCTAATGATGCTGATGATGATGAAGCCGATGATGATCATGATGATGCTGCTGCTGAGGGTGATGATGAGAATGCTGCTGGTGATGGTCATGAAGCTGTGGACGTTGCAGCTGATGATGGTGACGGTGATGATGTCGATGGTTGTGGTGATGATGCTGCTGCTGATGATGGTGCTGGTGATGATGGTGCTGATGATGGCGATGTTGCTAATAATTTGAATGATTATGGTGCTGATGATGCTGATGCTGATAGCGAGGGGGGAGGATGATTCTGAGGATGTTGTTGCTGCTGGTGATTAGGACGATGCTGATGCTGATGCTGATGTTGATGATGCTGATGTGGACGCTGATGATGATGTTGATGATTATGATGATGCTGCTAATGATGATGCTGATGCTTATTTTGCTGCTGATGATGATGACGACGATGCAGATGACCATGATGATGATGGTATTGATGAGGATGATGATGATGGTAACGATGGTGATGATGATGATGATGATGATGGCGATGGCGATGATGCTGTTGCCGTTCATGGTGATAAGTCTGATCACGATGGTAATATTGATGATAATGATGACTAAGGGGGGTGCTGCTGTTGATGATGATGGCGATGATGATGGTGATGATGCTGACGATGGCGACGGTGATATTGATATTGCTGCTGCTGCCAATGCTGATGCTGATGCCGATGCTGATGCGGATGTTCTTGCTGATGAAGGTGATGCTGACGGCGATGATGCTGATGATTCCGATGCTAATGATGATGCTGAAGATGCTGATGAGGATGCTGATGATTGTGATGCTGACGACCATGACCACGATGATATTGTTGATGATGATGGTTAGGTCGATGATCATAATGATGATGCTGATGCTGATGCGGCGGCTGCTGTTGATGATGGTGACGATGGTGACGCCGATGATCATGACGATGCTGATGCTGAAGGAGCTGATTCAGATGCTGATGCTGATGCTGATGTTGCTGCTGCTGGTGGTGATGAACATAATTATGATGATACTGATGATGATGATGCTGATGATGATGATGTTGCCGACTATGTTGCTTCGGATAATGATGGTGAGGCCGATGATTATAATGGCGGTGTGGATGGTAATGAAGCTAATGATGATGCTGATGATGCTGATGATGCTGATGCTGATGCTGATGCTGATGCTGATGAGTCTGCTGCTGACGATGCTGATGATGACGGTTCATGGTGATGATGGTGCCGATGGGTATAATGTTGGTGATGATGACGATGGTCATCATGAAAAAAATGATGATGATCCTGCGGGTGATGCTGATGATGATGATAATAATGATGATGTCGAGGATGCTTCTGCGCTGATGATGCTGATGGCGATGTCGATGATGATGGTGATGCTGCTGCTGATGTTCATTCTACGGGTGATGATGGTGATGCTGATCATGATGATTATGACGTTGATGGTGATTATGCTGATTATCACGAGGATGATGTTGATGCTGATGGTGCTGCTGATCTTGGTGACGGTGATGATTATGCAAATGATCATGCTAATGATGATGTTGGCGATGACAATTGTGATGACGATGATAATGATGCTGCCGGTGTTGATGATGACGCTGATATGATGATGCTGATGGTGATGCCCATGATGATGGGATTTGGATGAGGATGAGGATGTAGATGATCCTGATGGTGCTGGTGACGATGGCAATGGTTTTGTTGATGATGATGTTGATGTTGCTGTTGATGATGATGCTGATGAAAACGATGACGATGATGTTGATGCTGATGATGACGACCGTGATGGAGATAATGATGATGATGCCAATGGTGAGATTGTTGATGATGATGATGATTCTGATTATGATGATGTCTATGTTTCAAATGGTCATCATGTGGTTGTTATTGATGTTGATGCTGACGATGACTGTCGTTGTCGTGTTGGTAAGGAGGACGACGACACCCACGAGGATGCGGGGTGGATGATGATGATGATGATGGTGTTGAGTTTGAGGATGCTGCTGTTGCTGATGATGCGGATGATGATGAGCACAGTGATGCTGATGATGCTGCTGATCCTGGTGGTGATGATGATTATGCACATGATCCTGCTGCTGCTGATGATGATGATGATGATGATGATGAGGGCGATGACAATGATGATGCCGTTGTTGTTGATGATGACGCTGGTGCTGATGAGCCAGCTTCTGCTGGTGATGGCGTTGATGACGATGATGATGATGACGATAATGGTGATGCCGATTCTGCTGATGATGAGGATGATGATGATGATGATGATGATGTTTACGACGATGATGCTGATGATGATGACGAGGATTAGGAGGAGCAGGATGATTATGATGGGGATGGTCGTTGTGGTGGTGGTGATGGTGGTGGTGATGATGATGACGATGATGATGATGAGCATGATGACGCTGATGACCATGACGATGATGATGCTGATGATGCTGCTGCTGATGGTGATGATAGTGATGATGATGCTGCTGCTGCTCATGATGATGATGATGATGATGATGATGATGATGATGAGGTTGATGATGATGATGATAATGATGATGTGGATGATGTTGATGATGCTGCTGCTGATGACGATAATGATGATGATGATGATGATGATGATGATGATGATGATGATGATGATGATGATGATGATGATGATGATGATGATGATGATGATGATGATGATGATGATGCTGATGATGATGATGATGATGATGATGATGATGAAGCTGCTGCTGCTGCTGCTGCTGCTGATGATGATGATGATGATGATGATGATGATGATGATGATGATGATGATGATGAAGAGTAGTCTTAATGTTTAATCGTTTCGTTCACTCTGCCTGCCCGTATCGTGCCATCGCAGGCATTTGTCTGCGCGTTCGTGGCCTCTTGGAGGCCGTTTGGGGGCCTCTTGGAGCCTTTTTCTGGGCCTCTTGGCGGTATTTCTGGGACCTCCTGGGGCGTCTTGGGGGCCTCTTGGGGGCCTCTGGGGGATCTCTTGGGGCCTCTCGGGGGCCTCTTGGGGGCTTCTCGGGGGCCTCGTGGGGCCTCCAGGAGACCTCTCTGCGCCTAGAGCTTGAAATGTCCGTTCAGGTCCCTCGTCTGGGCCCGCTCTTGGACCCGTCTTGGGAGCCTCTTCGGCCATCTTGGAGGCCTGTGGGGCTGTCTTGGGGCCCTCTGGGGGAGTTTTAGGCGCTCTTGGAGGCCTCTTGTTGAGCCGAGTTGGGGCGATCCTGGAAGCCTCTTGGGCCGTCTTGGAGCGCCCGTAAGCCGAAAAGGCGAGAACGCCAAAAACCTTCCAAAACTGATGGGAAATCATTCATTTCTGCCTCTGTGGGCCCTCTTTGGAGGTCTCTTGGAGGCCTCTCGGGGCGTCTTGAGAACGTTTTGGGCTGTCCGGAGACCATCTTTGGCGTCTTGGATCGCTCTTGGACCGTCTCGGACCACGTTGAGCTCCCTTGGAGGCCACTTGGAGCGCTCCTGGAGCGCTCTTGGGAGCCTGCTTGGACCTGGCCGGCCCAGGACCTGCCCGGGACCTTGCCGGGACCCTGTCGGGACCTTGCCGGGGCCTTGTCGGGGTACTTTTCGTCTGGGGACCCCCCAGGGGCGGCCCCGCGCGCGCGAACTAAAAATATTGTGAACCAATTACTGGAGATCTCAGCACGCCCTTGGCCCGTTGGGCTGGCGAAGTGTTGATGATGATGATGATGATGATGATGATGATGATGATGATGATGATGATGATGATGATGATGATGATGATGATGATGGTTCTTCTTCTTCTTCTTATTATTATTCATATCTTTATTTTTACCCTGAGCCTTATTATCGTAATCGTTGTTACCTGTATTATCATGATTATTATGATGATGCTGGTGATGCTGATGATGCTGCTGATGATGCTGCTGCTGATGATGTTGCTGATGATGATTACGATTCTGATTTTGAATCGGATTATTATTATCGTTATTATTGTGATGATGTTCATTACTGTATTCTTATTGTTGTTCGTATTAATCTTATGATGATTATGTGAGGGGAGAAGAGACGAGGGGTGGGAGGAGGAGGAGGAGGAGGAGGAGGAGGAGGAGGAGGAGGAGGAGGAGGAGGAGGAGGAGAGAGGGGGAGGGGGAGGAGGGAGGAGGAAGATGCGGGAGGAGGGAGGAGGATAGGAGAGGGATAAAGCGGAGGAAGGCAGAGGATGAGGTGAAGGCGGAGGGGGGGAATTGGAGGAAATCGAACTCGAGTCCAGTGGCCCCCCTGGGAACGCCTTGGTTCGAGCAACGTGCCAGAGATAAGCCAGGTCCCCGAGGTCTGCGGAGGTCTCTGGTCTCTGAAGGTCCTCCGTTACCTCTGGAGACCTCTGGAGGCCCACCGTGTAAACATTAACATAACAAAAACACAATCCTCCTTCTCCTCCTCCTCCTCCTCCTCCTCCTTCTCCTCCTCCTCCTCCTCCTCCTCCATGTCCTTCCTTCTCCTGCTGTAGCTCCCTCCGCTAGCTCCCTCCTCCTCCTCCTCCTCCTCCTCCTCCTCCTCCTCCTCCTCCAGCTGCTGCCCCCTCCTCTTCGCCCTCCTCCTCGTGGAAGAGAAAGAATGAGGAGGAGGGGGATGGAGGATGTCCTTCTCCGCCTCATCCCGACTCTCCTCCTTTTCATCCTTCCTCTTCCCTTCACCTTCTCTCCAGTCTTCCTCCTTATCCGTCCTCTCCGCTCCGCTCGCTCCTCTCCGCTTTTCCGTGGAATCAACGCGCTCCCCTCCGCTCTGCTCCGCTCCGCTCCGCTCCTCCTTCTTATCCTCCTCCTCCTCCCCCTCCTCCTCCTCCTCCTCCTCCTCCTCTTCCTCCTCTTCCTCATCATCATCGTTCTCCCCCTCCTCCTTCCTCCTCTTCCGCGCTTGGCCACCGCTTGGCCTGTGCCGAAGGCACGGCACTCCTCCCTCCCCCTGCTCCTTCTCCTCCCCCCTCCCCCTCCCCCTCCCTCCTCTTCCCCGCGCGACAACCTGCCGCGCGGCGCCGCCCGAAGCGCAGGGGAGACCAGCCCTGGCGCCGTTGTCGCCGCCCCCGTTGCCGCCGCCGCCGCCGCCTTCGTCAACGTTGTCGTCGTCGTCGTCGTCGTCGTCGTCGTCGTCGTCGTCGTCGTCGTCGTCGTCGTCGTCGTCGTCGTCGTCGTCGGCTGCGGTGGCGGTGGCGGTGGCGGCGTCGGCCGCGGCGGCGGCGGCAACGGCGGCGGCGGCAACGGCGGCGGGGCTGGTCTCCCGGGCGCTTCGGGCGGCGCCGCGCGGCAGGTTGTCGCGCGGGGAAGAGGAGGGAGGGGAGGGGGAGAGGGGAGGAGAAGGAGCAGGAGGAGGGAGGAGTGCCGTGCCTTCGGCACAGGCCAAGCGGTGGCCACGCGTGGAAGAGGAGGGAGGAGGAGGAGGAGGAGGAGGAGGAGGAGAAGAGGAAGGAGGAGGAGGAGGAGGAGAGGAGGAGGACGAGGAGGAGGAGGAGGAGGAAGAAGAGGAGGAGGAGATGGAGGAGGAGGAGGAGGATGGAGGAGGAGGAGGAGGAGGAGGAGTAGAGGAGGAGGAGGAGGAGGAGAGGAGAAGGGAGGAGGAGGAGGAGGAGGAGGAGGAAGGAGGAGGAGGAGGAGGAGGAGGAGGAGGAGGAGGAGGAGGAGGAGGAGGAGGAGGAGAAGAAGAAGCTCGGGGGTTGCTAAACATGTCCCCGGCCCAATGTGTCCCCAGCTTCTTCTCGCTCCACGCTCGATCCCCCTCGGCGCCCTCTGGGCTTCATGAAGGGGGTGCTCGGGAGGCCGCGGGGGCCTCCCTTGAGCTCCTGGATGCACCTTGGGCCGGGACACCTTCGGCAGCACCCCAGAAGACCCAGAACTCCGACGTCGAGATTTTTTCGCAACGCGGACCCCTGAGGTCCAGACTCCGTCCCCAGGACCGGCTCGTCATCACGAGTCGTTCTTTGACGGTCCCGGGACCAGGTGAAGGCCCCCGGAGGACGATAATTGTCAGACACCTTCCCTCTTGATGTTTTAGCAACTAGAGGAGCGAAGAAGATACGCACAATGTCTCGGAGGTCCGTGTGGATCTTTTGGATCGGCGCTGGAGCCCCCTGGCGGCGCCTCGGGCGTCCCCCCTGGCGGCGATCTCCGACAGTTTATGTTTATGCAGTCTTCTGTTCTTCAAGTCGTGAGGATGTCAGGAGGTGCGGGGAGCCCCCCCCCCCACCCCCGGGAGGACGCCCCGAAGACCCTGATGCCCAGCTTCGCTCTGCAGGCTGGAGTGGGGCTGGCGGTCCTGCGCGGGGCCGCCATCGCCAGGGACCTCGCCGCCAAGGAGGGCGGCGGTCGCCGTCGGCCTCGCCGTTGTCGTGGGCTTCGGCGGAGGAGGGGGGTGGGAAAGGATGAGAAGGGGGAAGAGTAGAAGGAGAAGGAGGAGGAGGCGGAGGAGGAGGAGGAGGAGGAAGAGGACGAGGAGGAGGAGGAGGTGGATGAGGATGAGGATGAGGATGAGGATGAGGAGATGAGGATGAGGATGAGGATAAGGATGAAGGATGATGATGATGAGATGATGAGATGATGATATGATGATGATGATGCTGAGGAGGGAGGAGATGATGAGATGCTGATGATGATGAGTAGGAGGAGGAGGACGAGGAGGGGAGAGGAGAAGGAGGGAAAGGAGGAGGAGAGGAGAAAGTTGGAGGAAGAAGAGGAGACGAGGAGGAGGAGGGAGGGAGAGGAGGGTCAGCAGGGGGAGGGGGATGGTGATGTGATGATGATGCTGATGATAATGACGATGATGCTGCTGATGATGATGATGATGATGTTGATGATGATGATTGATGATGATGATGATGATGATGATGATGATGATGCTGATGTGATGCTGATGATGCTAATGATGCTGGTGATGCTGCTGATGATGATGATGATGCCGATGAATGATGATGATGAATGCTGATGATGATGACGATTAGGAGGAGAAGGAGGATGAGGAGGATGAGGAAGGGGAGTGAGGAGAAGGAGAGGAGGAGGAGGGGAGGAGGAAGCGGGGAAGGAATGAGATGGGGAGGAGGATGGGGAGGTGAAGGGGGAGAAAGAAGAGCAGGAGCGATGACAGAGTGTATGAGGAATCGGGGATAAGAGATAAGGGAGGTCGGGGGCGAGGTGAAGGATGAGTAGGTCATATGAGCATGTTAGTGGAAGTGCAGAAGGAGGAAAAGAAGGGGGAGGAGGAGGCGAGGGCGGAGGCGGAGGCGGTGGAGAAGGAGGCGGAGTAGGAGGAGGAGGAGGAGGAGGAGGAGGAGGAGGAGGAGGAGGAGGAGGAGGAGGGAGGAGGAGGAGGATGGGCGGAGGGAGGGGAGGAGGGATCATCGTTCGTGGCCCCCGCGCCTCCGCGCTCCCCCCAGATGCCCCGCACAAGGGGGGGGGGGGGGGGCAGGCCCTGTGCGCGCCGCCGCAGTGCCGGCGGCGCTTGCCTGCTTCGGGGGCGGCGTGCCCGACACCGCCCCGCTGCCAGGGCCCGCCGGACGGGATCCGTCTGAGGGGGGGCCCGCTGCCAGGGCCCGCTGCCAGGGCCCGCTGCTAGGGCCCGCCGGATGGGATCCGTCTGGGGGGGCCCGCTGCCAGGGCCCGCTGTGGCCCCGCGCGGCCGATCCGTCGGGCGGATCTCTGGCCGGCCCGTCGAGTGGGTCTCTCCCTGCGATGCGTTGTGGGGCTCCGCGGCCAGGGCGCGCCGGGGGCCAGCATCATAGCTGCGCGGGCACCCGCGTGAGGCGCTCCAGCCAGGGCCTCGGCTTCCGGGCGTCGAGTGGTGGGTGTTTCTTCCGTCGGCGAAAGGCGGTGGCCTCCTCCTCCTCCTCCTCCTCCTCCCTCCCTCCCTCCCTCCCTCCCTCCCTCTCCCTCCCTCCCTCCCTGCCTCCCTCCCTCCCTCCCCTCCCTCCCTCCCTCCCTCCCTCCCTCCCTGCGGGCGGAACTAGAAACTGTCCACCCAAGGGACGTTGTTTTCGTTGGACCTGCTGTTTGCAGAACCCGCCACGTAGCTAGCATGCCCTCATCGCGGAGGCGGGGGTGGATGCATCGACTGCCGCTCGCCTCTTGACCGCCGAGGGGGGCCTGACAGTCCACCCCGCCCAGGG